TTTTTATGGTATTTATGTTATGTTATGGATTTTATGGTATTTTATGTTGTTTTATTATGAGTATATTGATAGTACTAATATAGTGTCTCTTGTTGCCTCTTCGAGCCGAGGGTCTCCTGGAAACAGCCTCTCTGCCCCTCGGGGTAGAGGTAAGGTCTGCGTACATATTACCCTCCCCAGACCCCATTTGTGGGATTACACTGGGTTGTTGTTGTTGTTGTTGACATCTCATATGACCACTTACAATCAGCAAATTACACAAACAGAATCAGCAAATCTGTGCGTATCACAAAAGGAAAAAAATGCTATTTCCCTAGGAAGGGAATAAATTTGCTTCCAATTACTTAATTAATAGGATCCCTTGTAATTTGTTTAAATTAGATGGAATATTTGGAGTTCAGTTATGAAGGTTGGTTAAACTGTCGAGTTAATAGTGTCATGTTTGAATATTGAAATCAGAGTACATGCACCTTCATTGTTTTGATAAAAAGTACTGTTGCTAAAGACAAGCATAAATAATAAATAGAATTTACCTCATATCCAAATAAACGTCTCGCACGAAGCTTCTCATCAAGAAGATCATTTAGAACTTCATCTTGATAGAAAACATCAGCTGCTTTAACTATGTCCCTGACAAGGAATACACGGACCCTTGAACCCTTGTCTGATAAAATAAATTGGAGAAGATCTTCTGTAGCAGAGACTACGGCCCTTATATCAAATGATCCCAATGGATTTGAATAACTTTCTTGAGTTTCTCCTTCTGTTTCAGAAGCTTGCTGAGATATTGCTGCAATCTGCAGGAAGATACAACATTTTCAACAATTCGCATAAAAGAGTGATCTAATTTACAGGAGTCCTAAACTACCTCATCACCACCTTTATCAGTCTCAACCTAACAGATTACAGATTTTGAAGTATTAGAAAAGATATCAAGCTTCTGAGGATTATCTTTTGATAGCAAAATGCTTCCTACAGTCCTACCCAATGAAATTTCTATTTGGACACATTAGACAGAAGTGCTGCTTTTATTTATCTAACAAAGAAAAAGAAAACTGACAACTTCTACCTAGTACTCTTTTTTGATAATGCAACTTCTACCTAGTACTCGTGGCATCATTCTATTCATAAGGATCATATTGAAAAGAAGACCTAGAAAAGCCAGATAAGGTTTTCACATCTCATATATTGGAGTCCAGCAGGGAAAAACAAAAATGACCTCCTTTTTCTCGATCTAGTCAAAGGTTCCTGTGCAGGTAAAGCATAAGCTTCTGTTTTATTACCTGCAATTCCCCACAAAGGGATCTTAAACCTCAAAGCACAAGCTAGCTGCTGTTGGTTATTCTGTCTTAAAGAATCTTAGAAGATTATTTCTTCTCCTCATTTAACCTCCTCCCTACTATACTGACATGCAAACAACCACCAAAATACCTACTCACCATTACACACTTGCTAACGCCAAGCTCGCCAACCTCCCTCAACTACACTGGCTAAAGCAGATGAATTTCTTCAGACGAAATACGTATTTTCAGGAATAAAGCTGATACAGAAACTCAAAGTTACAGGAAAAGGAGACGAAGCCATCTAAACAAATTTTACAAAAGGAAGCTGTTGTCAAAACATATATTTACTTTCCCCATCCTAGAACATCGGATGCTGCTCGATTGCCTTTTATTTCAAATTGGATGACAATTTTGTTTCTTATAATGAGCATAAATTAGGGAATATCTTCAAATTTTCACCCTACAACTATTATTTTCATTTCAGGAGCACGGGAAGAAATTTAGATTTTGTACAACAAGTTCTCTATATACTTTGACAGTTTGAGAAGCTCTATTCTGTCTAAGCTGATGCAGGCTTTGCTTATTCAGGATTTTTCCTGTCATGAAAATTACTCATTCTTTAGAGCGGAACACAACAACTGTTCTACTTTTTAGCTCTCAGGCACACTCCCCGAGGAGCCTGAGTACAAGAATTTTTAGCTTTCCATGAACACCATTAGACAGCCCCCGAGATTCCGACCACTCCACTGAATCTTTTCCGACGAAGCAGCCGCCACGCGCCGCCCTTTCCGGCGACCTTTCCCACACGCGCCGGGCGCGTGATCCAAATTCCGGCAGCTTTTCAAAAAAAAAAAAGTTTGGGACAGCTTCCTTTACTGCAAATTCCGACCAGATTGGTACAATATTTTTAGATTTCCGACAACTTTTATTTTTCCGGGAGCGGGAAACCTCTGTTTTGGCCCAAAATTCAGTTTCTTTTACCTCAACAGCTCAACTGTGATGACCATCAAATACTCCTTATAATTTCCA